TTAAATTTAATTTGTTTTCCTATAAAAAATGTTGACATCATCTTTTAGTGAAAATGGTTTGCTGTTATATATAGATATACTTTCAATTTCAACGGAATATTGAAAATAAGATTTAATGGTTAAATAATTGAAAATATATAACTATTTATGGAATGAATATGTGTTCCGATCAAGTGCAACTATAGCGTCATACTTAAAATCCTAAATAAAATCGTACTCATTAGACAAAAATGAAGAACAAATTCCACCATTAGATTTAATTTGTTTTCCTATAAAAAATGTTGACATCATCTTTTAGTGAAAATGGTTTGCTATTATATATAGATATACTTTCAATTTTCAACGGAACATTGAAAATAAGATTAATGGTTAAATAATTGGAAAGATATAACTATTTATTGAATGAATATGTGTTTTGGTCAGGTGCAACTATCGCGTCATACTTAAAATCCTAAATAAAATCGTATTCGTTTGACAAAAATGAAGAACAAATTCCACCATTAAATTTAATTTGTTTTCCTATAAAAAATGTTGACATCATCTTTTAGTGAAAATGGTTTGCTATTATATATAGATATACTTTCAATTTTCAACAGAACATAATCATAATTATTAGACACAAATTACTTAAAAATGTTCTAAGTTGAATTTTCAAAAATATATTTCATCAAAAATACTTAATATTTGTGTTTAAAATTTAATGACTATTATTTAAGTGATGGAGTTTAATCTATAAATTTTATAAATGTGTTATAAATTACATCTTTGAACATTTATAAATGTGTTATATTTTCAATATTTATAAATGTTTTAGGAGAGCTAACTTAACTTTTATCATAAATTTAAGTTATTTATAAAAATGGTTATATTTTGATGATAAACTTAAAAAGTGATATCAAATTTATAGTAAAATTGAAATTCTTTCATAATTATAATGTAAGAGATAAAAACTGTGTAAATTCATCTTCAATCCCTTAAAATTATATTATTATATCGCTCTTTATGATGCTTATAATAAGATGTTTAGAAATATTTTAGTATTTCAAAATTTAAAAATATTTTTGAAAATTTCTTAATTTTGTGTGTGCTTATAATAACATTTTACATTGTGAAATAGATTAAGTATTATTTTGCGTATTTACAACTAGTATAATGTGAAAAAGTAGAACATAAATGTCTTATTTTTATATAGAAATCATGGAATCTTATTTGTCGTGCCAATCTTTTTCCAATAATAAGTACGTTAGTAATTCGTTAAATAAAAACATAATGGACCCCGAAACTAAATATATACTGATGACAAATGCCACTCTGACATACACATAAAGTTATGTCGCCATTGTATAATGCATGACACAATACCTAATTTACGGGTAAAATGAAAATTATGTGATGATATTTGAATACAATAATGAGATTGCTAGAGAGTCACAAGATTTACTCTTTCTGTATCCAAATTAATAAACGAAAGAGTATTATAACAAGAATATTATCTCTATCAACCCCTTGTTAAATCTTCCACACGAGGTTTTCAAACTACACATCTCTTACTTAAAGAAGCTTCATCACATTCTCAGAATAGTTGAGATAGGTGTGGAAAAAGACACCCTGAAACGCTTCCAGTCCTCGGATTCCAACTTTTATGATCGTCTTTCTCTCCACATTGAAGTAGATGACATAGGAAGGCACGAATTGGTACCAGGGGGCCAAGACGATTTCAGTTGTACCAACCATTCCTGAAATGCGCATGTCCGTTGTTGAAACTATATCTTTCCACGAAGGAGGTAATACGTATACATGCTTGGACCACTCATGTTTTGCAGCGTCTCGTAGAACCCACAGCTCAAGACTCTTACTTGCTCGACTAGAATCTCCCGACATAAGCAAACCAAGTTTCCCATCGTAGTTTACAAGAGTTGTTGAACGAGGCATTGCTTTACTAGAAGCTTCCATGAACTTCACAAAGCTGAACTTCTCAGTCCTCAAGTCAAAACAAACGACCATAGAATTCACGGGCGAACTGTTTCCTTCTGCAGCTGTGTAGTAAAGAACTCCACTGACGCAAATCCACTTACGAGAAGAACGATGAGGGATGCAACAACACTCGACCAACCTCCACGACAACTTCTTGGCTCCTAATGTCAGAACTTGGTGCCTCTCAGAGTGACCACTCTCATACGAGAGATCCATTGACAATACCTTGAAATCTTTAGAAACGGGGTCGTATCCAAGAAAGCTTTCAACTCCAAACCTCTTCCTCGACTTCTTCAATGTTGGTAAGATCAAAGACTGTCCTGTGCTAGGGTTACATATCACCGGGACATACGCTGGAGTTACCCTCCCTTCCAAGATCAAGTCAGCTCCATAACACAAGAAGCCATTCGTACAACCAAATAACTGATAAGAACTTGGGAAACACGCAAGATGATTGGCAGCTACAACATACGAGTTCTCTTCCGGATTTTCAAGTTGAGGTGACGAGAAGAAGATATACTTACTGATCGTGTGGTCATCGCATGCGAAAAGAAGCTGAGGACGAGCGCAAGATTTGGTCAAGAACAGCTCTGTGAAATCTTGACGGCGAAGTATGGAGAACCAGAGCTTGCATGCGCAACGACTTCTCGCCATCGCTTTCGACGGCAGCCTCGAGAATATCTCCATAACGAGGTCATCAGCTACCGGCAAAGAGTTCCGACGAAGTGTCGTCATCGATCGTGTAGTGTGCGCTGATGTCATGGCTCAGTTCATATTGGTTTTAGACTTTTAGAAAGGCGGAAGAGTTGTGAGGAAAAAAAAAAGAATGGTGGTTTCTCTATAAAGTTTCTTTCTAAGCATAATTAAAGTAAATGTTGTTTTTATTCTTAAATTTATCTTCATGTTTTCTTAGTTCTAACGGTTATTTTCTCTGTAACAAAAACTAGTGAACTCGTTTGCAATGTTTTTTCATACAAACGGTTCAAACTTTTTCCTAAATAATAAAATTTAATTAAATAATTAATCACAACTAGTCTATAATAATAAGTTTGAGTATTACAAACCGCTGAAGTTAGAGCTCAGAAGGCTGAAGAAACTATCTTTGTTCGACCCTGCTCTGTTATAGAGCTCTCTGCTACTTCCTGCCTCTGCTGTAACACAACAACTACGAACTCAACCTTGGAAACTTACTCTGCTATAGAGTCTACTCAGTTTTAGTGTAACCTCACTAATCTTACGAAGCAAGGAAAAACATCTTGGTATCTTCTTCCTTAAGCAAGTCAACCATGTCTCACAGATACTCCAGGGCTGATAAGGAGAAATGGATAGCTAAACCTCAACCACGGAAGAAACCACCAATCAGGATCCCAGCGAGTGATAATGAAGCTCTAATAGCCAGTAACCTACTTACTCTTATTAGAAGGGTCACCAACACAAAGTTTCAACGGCCAAGAGCTATTGTTACTCTTAGGCTTCTATTTCTTTTCAGCCCACTTGGATAGATTCAGATTAGGTGTTGCAATACAATATTACTAAATAAAATTAATGTCTTGTTTATTGTAATTTAATTTGGATAGATTCGAATTTGTATGCGTAGAAATAGTTCTTACACTACAGTACATATTCATAAGTAAAATCTTTTTTTATTAAAACTTTATTGCACTGTCTTAGAGTATATCTAGTTATCTACTACAGAGATCCTCAAATAGTATACTACAAACTAAACAAAAAAAAGTTGGTATGCGCTTAGAATTTAGCCCAAAAATATCATAAAGTAGTTAATTTGAAATAATTTTGGGTGAAGTTTTCACTATTTAGTGAATTAATTTTTGAATTTGAATTGCTCTTACAAGAAATAGTCAATTTCAGTTGTAGGTCGTATTAATGACGTTTGATCTTGAAAACTATAAGGAGAATATCATCGGATATCAGCGGCACAAATAGAGATTTTACAATGTTAGTTAACCTTTTAAAACCTTTTATATTTCAGACAATACATTAAGCAGGTGTAATTATCTTATGTGGAAAGATAATTTTGATGTTAGATTGTCGGAATGGCGAGCGAACCATAAAATTAAGTTTCCTTTTAAAAATTTTGATGTTTTTTTTCTGTTATAAAATTTTATTTATATATTATAGGTTGGTCTTTTTCTTTTGCAACCAGAATTTTTCCTTGGTATTTTTTAGAAAACTTTCCTTTTTTGATGAAGTGCTGGGTTTTAATTGTGAGTATCTTTATTTGGCAAAAGTTTTTATCATGAATGTAAAACCTTCTCCATCATTCACTCAATAAAATGTAGTAATGTTTCTAAGACCACCATTATCACAGTCTTTGCTATGTTTTTAAAGGGGGAGGGGTCCATTGGGAAAACCGAGAGCCAATTTTACCAAATTAGAGACGTTTGCGGTGGATTTTTCAACTATTCATGGTTTTAATTGGCATATGGTAGTCCATGATTAGTTAATTTTTTATTTTTTTAATTAGACAAATATGAAAAATAAAAATAAAAAACCAAATGGGTATTTGCGATAAAAGTGGTCTAAGTTTTCTTCTTTAAAAAAAAAACAAAAATTTGTGAGATATTGTGGTGAAAAGCGGCTTTTAAAACTTGATATTCGAAAAAATGGGAAAACACGTTGGCCTTGATTTCAGAGATCATTTAAATCTTTGGTTAAAGAAAAAGTCTTAAATATCTTTCCAAGACTAAATTCACTTTTATAAAACCAAAGTATGTGCACACAAAATAAAACAAAGTATTTCACCATTTCTACTCTCCTCTGCTTCCCAATGCTTATAATTTACGTCATCTAATATTATTCCAATGTAAAAAAATATAACTGACCACGAGAAAAAAAAAAAAGCATGAACAATATAATAGCCTCGTCACTTCTCAACCAAAGAAAAAGAAAGAACTAGCACCAGAAAAAAAAAAAGATATTAACATATAAATACAAACTACATTACATATAACTCGTAGTTTATTACAATTTGGTTACATGTAGCTACGTAATACATATATGAAACATCAAATGCGTCTGGCCTTCTTAATTTTGTTACCTAGAGATGCTGAGTGAAACATACACTCAATCTCTCTAGAAACATTCAAAATGATCATTCTCCTGCTTCTATAAGAATCCCGAACCTTCAAAGCTCGCGATGGGACTCCCTTAGGCTTCCTCGGCGCCGGAGGACAAATATTTGTAATATTCGGGAGAATCTGGTCGTGGCGTGTCGGAGTCTTACATAAATCTTCTTCTTCTGCTTCTTTCTTTACATTTACTCCTTCACGTGGAGTATTAGCTATCTCTCGGACTTTAGTTTCAAGATCTTGATCTGGCTGGAATTCTTGAACGCTTTGGTCTGAAAACCCTGGTTCCGTTTCGCAGAGATTGTTTTGATCGGAGAGACCAATTCCAGAGTCCGAGAAACCCATCTTTCAGAGGAAAATTGTATAGCTCAAACGTAAAAGGGGAAGGGGGGTTAAATAGTTGTGATGCGAGAGAGAGAGAATAAAAAGAGAGCAATAGTTTACTGCTTTTCGTAGCTTACTTTGATTTATATAATGGTAATACTTGTACGTGTTGTTTTGAATTGTGTATTTTGTAAAAAAAATTATTTTGGGAACATTGGGCTTTTAGTTAATGTTGTGAGGGATCCGATGCAACAAATATACTTTATGTAAGCTTGCTTTTTAATACAGTAAGGTTTTCCTCAATTTGGTTAATCTCTATACCAATCACATGTTTCTCGCCTTTTAAGACCATATTTTGCTTTAAGATTATTTAACCAAACCCAAATTAATATTTAGTACTAAAATAAAAAAATAAAATTAGGTTTAAATTATTTAAGAATATTAGAATACGAAGCCTCTCGTTTATTTTAAGTTCTCGAATTGAAAATCCGACAACTAAATTACAAACTCATGTGATTCCTTCTACAAAATCATTCTCATATTGGATTAATCAAGTTGGTGTTCTTATAAATAAATTAAATTAGCAAAACATACTAGTATATAATAATTGTGTAAAGATATACGAAAGCTTGAAAGCGTATTAACATGGAAACGGGAAAAGGCCAATTTTTTTGGTTGAAAAGAAAAATGTCAATTACTTTCCTTTATTCATAAGCTATAAGAAATTATTGAATTGTGTCTAGAGTAAGATAGCCCGTCCCTTTCATCTTTATTCAAATTAATATAAAATCATCATTATCTATAATATCTACTCACACACATTCTCTCTCTGATCCTAACTTTTATGCATGCATATGTGAACTTCGATCGCACATGCCTTCTATGTTACCACACCCACATATACTCATGCAGACCACCATATCTCTATCAATTTAATATGATCCATCATACATCCGTTACCTTTTGTGTGTATATCTAGTCAAGATTGATTCAACTGACAAAATATAACGAATCGCTATATCAATATACTTGACAGTGTAGACTCTTCGTCGATTAAATAACGAGCGATGACATGAAACTACCCACCTAACTGACATAAATCTTAAATGTTTATGACACAAAGTTTACATTCTAACAACATACATCTCATTAGTTGTCAATCAAAAGCAAGAAAGGTAACGAAAGTCAAGACTAATAATAGATATTGTACATGTTTCTTTGCCTCTGGCATGTCCACATGTGTAATCTAATAACAAAAAAAGATGGACTTTATTAATTAAGATGTTTGTGATAATGGTAATGTTGTCTATTAAATATAACAAAACAATCAGAGACAAGATACTCAAGTATGAAATGTTATTGCAGTACATTTAAATTTAGTGCAGTGACGATTTGTTATACGTTCTAGAAAAATTCAAGGTTCTAAAGACTCTTCTACCAAAAGCTAAATAGATCCAAGATTTCTTCACGTAGATAGAAACGTTTCAATCAAATCACGAGAGAATATTGGTAATCCTTACCGGACAAAAATAGCAAACCAACTTTATTATAAATATAAATGATAACTGACTGTAAATGTATAAAATCATTTATATTGGTCAGTGACTCAGTGTCAGTGGTAGCTGGGTTAGGACTTAGGAAAAAGGGATTGCATCTCTCTGAATTTAGTAATTATGAGTGCGGTCTTTGCTACGAACTAAGTCGTTTTGTTTGGGCCATTTCGGCTTAAAATGCTTAATCTGTGGTGCGTTTGTAGAAAACCTCTGGCGAAGAACTTTCCCTTTAGACACAAATGTATCAAGAAAATAATGTGAAATGGTGGCCGCAAATGCGTTTGATGGTTTTGTTGAAGATTACATTGTTATTACCATCTACCACCAAAAGTATATATCATTTTTTGCAAGTAGACAGTAGTATTTCTAAATTAAAGATAATCTATAACCAACTCTCGGGATTTTGTAACTAGTTATCTCAATCAACATATGAAGTTATTTGAGCAGGCAATTCAACTTCTTGTTCGGATAAAAAAAGTTAAAATCTCAGATTATTAATTTACTTTTACTATTAAACTTGAAAGCAAAAGTCAAGCACACACTCTCATGGTGGATAACTAAATTTTATCTCATGCTCAATCATTTTGTCTCCCATCTTCTACTTTCTCCTTCTACCATTCTTCTGTTTTTGAGTGTCTTCTTCTGTGGTCTTAGTTTCAATTTCAGTGTAATTACAATCATTGACTACTAATTATGTAGTTTGGCCGAACATGTCTCTACCGGACAGCTAAAGATCATTACAAAATCTTGTCTTGTTCAAAGATTAATTGTTCAAGACTTATTACCAATTTATAATACTGTATATTATATCGAACCAAGGTATATACACATTTCACATCACAACGCAGACGAATGTTTTGATCGTTACATCTTAATTCCATTCATTTTAACCCATGTATTCATTTTATATCAGCTTTCAACAGATAAGATCTCTTTTCGACAAAATTACTTTGATAAAAGTTATACGATGACAAAACGGTAGGCAACAAAAACTTAATACTAAAATTAAATGATCGTTACATCTCAATTATTTTTTTTTTTTAGCTCTTTCATTAAATTGGAAATTGTTGAAACCAAAATTTAATACATTTTTAATTGGTTCTTATGGTCACCACTTACCGTAAGTTATTTTGCAACCAACCGTTCAAATGATTCAGGAATATCATTTACTCAATATTTGTACTCCGTGACTGAAACCTAGTACTCATTTTGTGAAAAGTAAAAGACTAACAAAACTTCTATTTTAGAGACATCTATTCCATTGATAAATTGTGAAAGTGAAAGAACTATAGGAAGTGGGGTTACACACTTGGGTAAAGTGTACCAAAAAAAAAAACTTTTATTTGAAAGGCATCAACCAAATAACTATGTAAAAAATATATGCTATTTACTAATCAAATCTCCTACACTACAACTATCTACGTTTATTGTTTTCTACAGAAATCTGCAAATGGTTTTAGATTTTTTTTTTTAAACTAAACTATTAGAAGAGGAATACAAATAGGAAATACTCCTTAGTTTTCCTCCAAAATTATAATTTTATGCCATTGAAATTAAAACACTTAATTTTAAATGGGTTTAATAAAAATTAAAGGTTTATTAATTTTAAATCAAAGCCAAACTGCTTAAAATCAAATTGCCTTATTCATTTTTTTTAAAAATGACATTTGTTAGTAAAATTGCTAGAGATCTTTTTTGTGAATGTTTTTTATTTTATTTTTGCTGTCTAAATAATTTATTTTTTAAAAAAATATCTATAAAATGTAATTTTAAATAATAATTTCAGTCACAAAATTTATATTATACTTTAATAAAACACACAATCTCTAATATTTTATACTTAATTGTTGTTTACCAAGTAAAAAAGTACAATATAAAAACTACAACATGATAGTTAAAAGAAAGATACTAAACAAAATGAACAAGATACACAACATCATAATTCAATAATCTATGAAACAGAAATATGAAAGATTTCTACAACTAACACAAATATATAGTTATACAGAACAATACATAGTAACTGCTTAAAATCCACAACACATAGCCTCGTCCGATGGATGAGCAAGCCCCTTCTCTTTACCGGTCCATCATGGCCCATCATCTATGTAGCTATTTCAAGAGACAACTAGTGTCTTCTGATCACTAAACCACCACTACAAAACTCCACGACCGCACTAGCGGGAGCTCTAGTCTTAAGAACCATTTCCTCAAACTCATCTTCCGCGTTTGACAAAGCAACGATGGCTCCACCTGCTCCAACGAAAGCTTCATCCTCATGTATCACCACTGTTCTTATCACAATATTCAGATCAAACGTACCATTATACGAGAAATACCCTATTGACCCAGAGTAAAGTCCACTCGAACAGTTCTCAAGCGAGTCAAGAATCTCTACAGATCTTAGTTTTGGAGCACCGGTCATTGAACCGCCAGGGAAAGCTGCTCTTACACATTCCACTGGAGTAATATCCGACTTCTTTAGTCCACGGACCGTGCTTACCATAGTGTGTACTGTTGTGTATGTTTCCACGTCCATAAGGTTAGGCACATGGACTGATCCAAGCTCGCATACACGGCCTAGATCATTCCTCAGAAGGTCAACTATCATCAGATTCTCTGCTTGGTTCTTCTCACTGATTACATGAACGAAAGGTTAAGTCAATGTTAAAAGAACCAAGATTCATCATTAATACGAGTGACAGTTGGGAAGAAACTAATATTACATGTTGTAGTTTCGGGCCTAGGAAGATTAATGAGCTTCGGCCCCAAACCATCTGGTAGTTAAGAAAAAAAAGTAGATGTGGTGGTACCTGAGTTTCAATTGCAGTTTAAGAAGTTCATCTTCTTCAGGGGTGGAGCCACGAGCTATAGTACCTTTAATCGGCTTTGCTTCGAGCACTCCATGTCTGTCTAGATTAAGAAACCTTTCAGGGGATGAGCAGCATAAAGACAAATCTGCATTTGAGAAGTTGAGAAAGGCTGCATATGGAGCTGGATTCCTCTCTCTAAGGTGGAGGTAAAGCCCCAGAGGATCAGTGTTCCCTATCTTCAATCTGTTCTGAGTAGTTAGACAAAGCTCGTAGCTCTCCCCGTCTTTGATGTACTGCATACACCTCTCAACATCGTTGATATACTGCTCTCGTGATTTGTCGTCAAGGACAAAACTTGTAGATGAATCTTTAGAAGGAATAGTTTGATCTTTCTTACACTTTCTTGTGGATGAAACCTTCATGCTAATGAGCTTCTCTTCAATATCTTTAAGGAAAGAGGTTTCTTCGGTGCCGTCTTGGTGTAGAGATAATACATAAACGTCATCAAGATGATGATCAATGGCGACAATGTTATCTAATTTTAAATAATAATTTCAATTACAAATTTATAATATACTTTAATAAAACAAATAATCTCTAATATTTTACACTTAATTATTTAGTTTACCAAGTAAAAATGTACAATATAAAAAATACAATATGATAGATAAAAGAAATACATTAAACAAAATGAATAAGATACACAGACATCAGAATTCAATAATCTATGAAACATAAATACAAATGATTTTTACAACTAACACAGATATATAATTATACAGAACAATACATAATAACTGCTTAAAATCCACAACACATAGCCTCGCCGGATGGATGAGCAAGCCCCTTCTCTTTACCGGCCCATCATGGCCCATCATCTATGTAGCTATTTCAAGAGACACAACTAGTGTCTTCTCTGATCACTAAACCACCACTACAAAACTCCACGACCGCTCTAGCGGGAGCTCTAGTCTTAAGAACCATTTCCTCAAACTCATCTTCCGCGTTTGACAAAGCAACGATGGCTCCACCTGCTCCAATGGAAGCTTCATCCTCATGTATCACCACTGTTCTTATCACAATATTCAGATCAAACGTACCATTATACGAGAAATACCCTATTGACCCAGAGTAAAGTCCTCTCGAACAGTTCTCAAGCGAGTCAAGAATCTCGACCGATCTTAGTTTTGGAGCACCAGTCATTGAGCCACCAGGGAAAGCTGCTCTTACACATTCCACTGGACTAATATCTGACTTCTTTAGTCCACGGACCGTGCTTACCATAGTGTGTACTGTTGTGTATGTTTCCACATCCATAAGGTTAGGCACATGGACTGATCCAGGCTCACATACGCGGCCTAGATCATTCCTCAGAAGGTCAACAATCATCAGATTCTCTGCTTGATTCTTCTCACTGATTACATGAACGAAAGGTTAAGTCAATGTTAAAGGAACAAAGATTCATCATTAAATTAATTCGAGTGACAGTTGGGACGAAACTAATATTACATGTTGTGGTTTCGGGCCTAGGAAGATTACTAATTTACTAGCTTCGGCTCGGACCACCAGGTAGACAAAAAAAAAGTTTAAAGATTCAGATGTGGTGGTACCTGAGTTTCAATTGCAGTTTAAGAAGTTCATCTTCTTCAGGCGTGGAGCCACGAGTTATAGTACCTTTGATCGGCTTTGCTTCTAGGACTCCGTATCTATCCAGCTTAAGAAACCTTTCAGGGGATGAACAGCATAAAGACAAATTTGCATTAGAGAAGTTGAGAAAGGCAGCATATGGAGCTGGATTCCTCTCTCTGAGGTGGAGGTAAAGCCCCAAAAGATCAGTGTTCCCTATCTTCAATCTGTTCTGAGTAGTGAGACAAAGCTCGTAGCTCTCCCCGTCTTTGATGTACTCCATACACCTCCCAACATCGTTGATATACTGCTCTCGTGATTTGTCAGGGACAAAACTTGTAGATGAATCTATAGAAGGAATAGTTTGATCATTCCACTTTCTTGTTGAGGAAGCCTTCATGCTAATGAGCTTCTCTTCGGTATCTTTAAGGAAAGTGGTCTCTGCGGTGCCTTCTTTGTGAAGAGATAACACATAAACGTCATCAAGATGATGATCAATGACGACAATGTTATCTACAAAGAAGAAACATGCATCCGGTGCCTTGGATTTGTGACGATTATTTGGCATTCCACATTCTACTTTAATATCATACCTGCGTGACAAGTAAAAGGTAGTTATTCAAAGGGATTGTGATAGAGATTCATGGTTTAAATGATTTAAAACGTACCCAATACAACCTACGTATCCACCATAAAAATCAAAAGGTAGCCCTTCAAAGTCCTTCTCATCATAATAGATAGATGAAAGCTCCTGGTAAATTAAATATACAGTTAGACCAGCTATGTGACTATGATCGTACTAAAGTAAAGTCGTTGGTCATACCTTACGTAAATAATCAAGAAAGCCTTCTTCCAAGAATCGTTTCTCAGTAGAACTGTGAGCGTCTTCAATCAGAAGGTGTCCACCATGTTTATATGTACTCTCGCTGAATACAAAAAGTCATAAAAGATCATAAACTTATACGTCGATATATAGAGAAAGAGTAGGTGAGATGCGTAAAACCTTTGATCAGATAAACTAAATGTCAACTGCTTCCAGAGGGATCCACCTTTACCACCCATGAATGAAAATCGCCCTCTAGCCTGGAACAATGTAATTGCAACCAACATTTCTTTAAAATCAAATCATTAGTAGCAACTAGTGTAGCTTCAGGAGAAATAGAGTACTAACCTTGTCACTAGAAGAGGTATCCAGCCAAAAAGTATCATTCCCACTACTTTTCCCAAAGTGTTGTATGAATATGTTTCTTGCTCCACCAACTTTATGTGCAATACGTTCTAGCTTCTTCCATTTCAGCCTCAGCAATTTTTCGTTAGGTTCGAAGACGTCTACACCATTTTTGTTGGAAGTAGAGAGGGACGCCCTAGGGTTACCATAATAGCTGGAATCGTTTCCTGTACTTCTACTTCGGGAAAGTTCTTTCAGCAGTTCACAAGCACCAGGCACCTTCATCTTTGCTAAAAATATTTATATTATTCTACAAGACGGATACTAATAAAGTAAGGTCAAAGGATACTAAAACAAAAGAAGCTTACCAGTTTCATTATTAATCTTTCGTCGACGCAATGATGAAGATTTGTAGCTATTCCAATAGTCCACAGTTATGTCTTTGAAGTTCTTGAATATTTGACTTCCATAGGTAGTAGCAATACTCTCTGGATGAAACTGAAGGAGCAATGCGTGTCAAAGACAGTAGAACAATGAAGGAAACTAAGTATAAGTGTGATCTCTTAGTAAGCATCAAACCTGTAAACCATAGTGAGGAAAAGTAGAGTGCATGATCCCCATGAGTATGTGTCTATCTTGTTTTCCATTAACATGAGACGAAGGCCAATAACTTTGGGTTTCCAAGTTTTCTGAAACAGAGATGACAGACCCGTCACTGGATGGGCTCATAGAGTTATTCACAGGAACAAGGAACTTCTTCTCAGAGTAAAAACTAGTGTCATCATAAATCGTCCATGCTATTGGTATGAGTTCCTTTGGCAGTGATTCCTTATCTATGATCAGCGAATGGTATCTAACAACCTGCAGAAATGAATGCCTAAGAATTTTGTATCTAGAGAGATCAGTGAATGTTGCATGTAAAATAAGTAGATGACCTGCCTTGAAATCAGAGTTTTTCCCGGATGGTATATCAGAAAACAATATGTTCCCATCATGCACAATCCCACTACATAAAGTATATGGAAATGGTGAGTAGCATATCTAGTAGATATGACCAAATATCAACACTTTTAGAATTGTTTCAGGTGATTACTAGAGGGCACACAAAGAGCATTAGAAAAATCCCTGTATACTGAAAACTACATTACTCAATACCTTAACCGTCCATGGACTGGTTCTGGGGCATGTACCACATGAGCACCATGGACATAACCTAGTGCCTGTCAAATCATGTTGTCTTGGTTTACAGAAATTCCGGAGAGAGAGAGAGAGATAAACTACTCATTTCTATGACTACGCAAGAGCTCTGACCTAATAGCCTCGAATATATTTTGATGTATTGTCATCTTTACGAAGAACAAGTACCTGGTGGCCAAGGCAGACCCCTAGAATAGGAATATCACGACATTCAAGCAAAAGGCGAAGACATATTCCTACATAGCCCACCAGAGTCAAATTCAAAAAAAGACAATAATGGAAAAACTCAATAACAATTTGGCTTGTACCTATATCAGCAGGGCACATGGGAGAACCAGGTCCAGGTGATATAACAATATTATCAAAAGCAGCGTCTTCATACAAGTAACGATAAGCTTCTTCCCACGTCCACTCATCGTTTCTAATAACCACAGGAGGCACTACACAGGACAAAGTATTCAAAAAAAAAGTTTGGAAAATAAAAAAACGCAGAGTCTATGTACAGAGAGTGACAAAGAGAAAGATAAGAAGTTACCTCCATTAATAGTACTCAATGCCTGATATATATTGAACGTGTAACTATCATAATTGTCTATTAGCAAAGTCCTCACAAGGCCAAGCCTGTCTCCAGTCTCTCTTCTTGGCAGACTCTTCTCGGCAATAGACGAATCTTCCAAGTGTACTCCTGACACATAATGTCTTGACGCAAAAGCCTTCCTCGTACCACGACAAGAAGATAAACTAATGTGTTTTTTCTTCCAGGTCTCATCAAACCTAACAAATTCACGAGGGAACAACCGGCTTGCAAACGAAAATCTTAAGACCATGTCACTTGGACATGAAAGCTCTGAAGAGACTGCGCAAAACGAAAAATTCATGTTCATAGCTCCTGCCAGAGGAAAAATACAGATAATTTGTTAAATTTGGAACTTATTATGAGATTTGAACTCAACACTAATTGCTAATGGGTAAATTGATTTTAAGACAACTTTCATTGTGGAACAATATGTCATTATAAGTCACTCACTGATGAGTGATGGATGACTCAACCTTTGTTCATTAATCTTTTTCTAATTGGAAAAGATCGACGGATCAATTTTTTTGGGGGTTGGCGGCATGATCAGGTTGTCTTTTAAGTAAAATATAATTTAAGATCATTATGAAAAGGATGTGTAGAAAAAAAAACGAGACAATGATATTAATTTGGTGGAAATTATAACAACTTTACACCCATGATCACTGCCACTTAGCGAAAGTTAGGGTTCCTATGTCACAAAAAAAATAACTTAAAAAGGTTCCATTTCGTAACCATTTAAGTCTCTTAAGGCAGTGGAGATTCAGATTCTCAACCCAAAACGTATACATTTCGAGTAGCCTAGGCAAAGTTTTGATAATCAATCTCTATACGAAATTTACATACGAAAAATATATAGCCACACTATCGAGAGAGAATGAAAGAGAAATTACGTTTAGATTCGAAAATGAAGATAGAGACTCGAATGCACGAATCAGTCAGGTCGCGAGGATTCAATGGAGATGGAAGAAGAAGAAGAAAAATGTTCCCGTTTTTATAGCTATGAAGAAACGAGAGGAGGACTATAAATATATATATATGAAATTGTAAAGTAAGTTACACTATAACCAAAGTTTTCCAGCGAACAAAGAAGCTTAGTTTAAATTTTAAATGTGTTGTTCTAATTCTTTCTCGTGATTACAAGTTGGTCCACAAACTAAGTGCCAAGCCAACTTTCAAGTAATTGGGAAACCAGAAACAAGTCATATCCTAGCACCTAAAATGTGAAAACCACTCATTCATAGAAAATTTGCAATAAATTTGATTTTGTTGAGAATTTAAAGCGAAGGAAGATGGTTAGAGATAATCATTTAAACTTTTGATATCAACGGTGATCAGACCAAGAAGGTTTATGGTGTGTTTGAATCAATTTGTCCACACAAGTATTATTGTTTACCTCTTCTCAGTGCATAAAATATTAAAATTACATTCTGATTAACCAAGAATTTTCAGATCCTAGCCCATAATGTTCTTGTGCCGAAGATTAGAGTGATTACTCCATTATCGATGATCAAACTTGAGACATCAAAGTCTCTTCTCTTTAGATGGTCAGCTACCAGCCCTTGGCTAAAATGACAGTCCAATTAATTGTAAACAATTACATTAATTTGAAATGATTTGATTTATTCTCACAAGATTGGTTTGAATGAGAGAAATATTGGCTGAGGTGGAAAGTAGTAGATGATTTTTTTTAGGCACAAGAAAACAAAACAGATGATTATGTGATAGATAGGGAGAGATGATAGCCGTTAAAGCAAACACAAGTCCATAAGAATTCGTTACAGACCGCATTTGTCACTTTCAATATCTCCCGCCACCATTTTCTCCACTACTTGCTTACAGTAGAAAATATCATTACGTTCGATTTCATACTCTGTTCCAACATAAATTCCACCCATAGATCCTGATCATATTCATATTCTTTAAAAATCAATGATATTGTCCGCTGCTGAAACATAAACAATGCCTCCCCCCCCCCCCCCCCCC